TTAGGGGTAGCACAAATTTCCCAAAAGGATCGAGACCAGAATTGAGGCCCGTTAGGACCCCGGGCTAAAAATATCATGGGGTTTCTATCTACTCCAATGATGTTCCTGTTCCTTTTGGGACACGATAATATTTTTACCCCGGGGTTGAGAATATCACGGGGTCTCTATCTACTCCATACATTTTACTGATTCTTTTGCGACCCCATAGTAACACTTGCATTCCCCCTAAAGTTTACACATAGTACGATTGCAACAGTCGACTCGCCACCAGAGTGCAGCGCGCCAATTGTTTCCGCGTCGTGCCCAGCAGCAGGCCGCCATAGACCAGGTGGCGGCGGCGGGGGCGGCGAGTGTTGTGACAGCAGAGTGGCCGGAGCAGCGCATCTGCATAATCCCTCGTAGCGCCGATTAGCCCCTTAATAACGCCGTGTTAGCGCGGCGCGCGGGGCTTAACCACTGGCGCCGGCCAAAGAGGCTTAAGGAAGTAAAGGGGGGCGGCGGCAGCGGCGGGGGCGACAACGGGGCCGAATCAATCAAAGTGTCTTAATTGAAAAAGCAGTGCGGCGCCGCCGCCAAGAGTTCGCGGCCGCCGAGTTTTGTGTGGAGCAGTGTCCGTGACTGGCCTAAAGTTTATATTAATCATCATGTCTGTCGATGATGATGATGATGATGATGATTATGGTGATTTTTTTGATTTTTTTCGTCATCGAAGATTTGCCGTGTAGTCGAGGGAAGACGACGACGGCGACGGCGACGGGGAAGTTATGTAGTGGTGGACGTAACCGGGTCAAGGAAGGTGCACGACGGCGGCGGCCTCGGTGGTGCGCGCGGGCAAACAGAGGACGACGCCGTCGTGGGGGTTGGCGGGGGTGGAGGGTATGCTCTGCAAGAGAGTCGCGGAGTGGCGCTAACTGAGTTGCGGACTAGGACTTACTGCACGGCGCGAGCTGGAGCGCAGATACGCCCCCGCACCCCTCCCCTTCCCCTCCGCCCCGCTCTTATATGACCTACCGCACGGCGACGCGCAAACTCAATGGATCAAACCTGGTGGTCGACATTATGTCCGCCTGCC